GCCGGCTCCAAGGGACCAATCTTCCTTTCTTCTCGTTTCAATTACTTTAAACGTAAAACATACTCGTACTAAGGCCTCTGATTGGCCGGCTCCAAGGGACCAATCTTCCTTTCTTCTCGTTTCAATTACTTTAAACGTAAAACATACTCGTACTAAGGCCTCTGATTCGCCGGCTCCAAGGGACCAATCTTCCTTTCTTCTCGTTTCAATTACTTTAAACGTAAAACATACTCGTACTAAGGCCTCTGATTGGCCGGCTCCAAGGGACCAATCTTCCTTTCTTCTCGTTTCAATTACTTTAAACGTAAAACATACTCGTACTAAGGCCTCTGATTCGCCGGCTCCAAGGGACCAATCTTCCTTTCTTCTCGTTTCAATTACTTTAAACGTAAAACATACTCGTACTAAGGCCTCTGATTGGTCGGCTCCAAGAGACCAATCTTCCTTTCTGCTCGTTTCGATTACTTTAAACGTAAAACAAACTGTCTACACACCCAGGTTTTTCAACCCTGCAGCTTAAGGTTTTAAAAAAAGCTTTCCATTAATACCCAACCATTAACGCAAAGTATAGCTCATTTGACTAAAGAAGAGCGAATAAGAGTCTGACTTTTTTTAGTCAGTAGGTAGGTAAACTAAAACACAAGTGCCAATGTGACTGAAGTACCAATATGACACTTTCCGAGTTATATGTACTTTCTAAGATTATTTAAAGATCACTAGCATACGGTAAAGGAAAACACGGTGACCAAACCAAAGCTGATGATTTCTTATTATAAGTTTAAAAATTGCCAACTCGCATTGAGCAAGCATGGCAATTAACGCTCAAACGCCTTCTCCGTGTGAGAAGAGGTCTTATTGGTCAGCAGTGGCCACTTAGGTATAGGCTGTTGATGTTGAAACTAAAACATCCCCGGTGTTCCACCTATTTCACAGCCCTAGTCCACTTGTGACGAATCTTTATACCGTGCACAATTCCAGACTCCCGTACAGACGTTACTGAGAAAATAGTTATGTAAGTCGAAAAACCTATAAGTAATTCCAATAACACTCCTCCCGACCCAAAACCCCTTGCTGACTT